TGACTCAGGCAACGGTCCGCGGCAAGACTTGAACTGGTCAGCCAGTGACTCAGTGGCAGGCGAAAGCAACCGCTCCATGATTCGCAGTGTCAGTGAGCCACAGAGGTCAGGCTGGTGGAAAACCAGCGACTTACGTTGGCAAGGCTGTGTGATGCTAAGGCCTGTGTGATTCACTTGAGTAGTCGATTGAGTCATGTGTGAATCACAGTGAAACGTGTGACGTTGTCATTGTGACATTGTGACGCTGTGTCGTTGCAATGGATGTGACGCGTTTTCTACTGATGCGCTAGGTCGTGCTGAAGCCATATCTCATCTATGACTTTGACGCCGTCTCACAGGCCAGTCGTCTTGCCACAATATGCCATAGTAGCCCAAGCTGTTTTCTTGTAAGTGAGTGGAGACGACAAGTGGCTGCTAATGACTGCATTGCTGGTGGCATGACACGACATGACATCATGACTCAATGACTCCTCCAGCGCTGCGCAGGCAGCAAGAGCATCTTACTTGCGTTCAAGCCTCCGCGCGAGCTGGAGTTTGAGGCTGCCGTACTGATGTGGTTGCTACTGCTACTGTTCAGGAAGTGCCGATCAGAATCACAATGGTTCTTTTCCCGCCCTGCCTGCCTTATGGTGTGTGGCGCTTTGAATTCAAGCCAATGACTGAGCCGGCAAGGCCGGCAGCTTGGGCAGGCTCAGTCAGTGTGGGGCCTTCTGCGCTAGACTCAGATTGATGCGGACTCGACTTGACTCTCACTCTTTTGCCATTGTGTGAAACTGATCTCAGACTCACAGTCACATGAATCATAATCATTTCTGGCCCAGGCAAAGAGACGTCTCTGCAGCTTCTTGCGGAGTTCGGGCAGGCCGACGTCAGTCAGTCAGTGACTCAGTAAGAGAGTGGCAGGCGGAAACGCAACACTGCTACTTTGTCAAATTTGCCAACGATGGGCCCATGCCATTAAACTACATGACTGACATCAATCGCAGTTCCGGCCAGGCGAAAATCAGTTCAACTGCGGGATGATGATTATAGGCCTGGCCACGCATGATGCCCCTCCAACAACAGTGTCACACAGTGTGATTGGCAGTTGAGTCAACTTGTCAACACAGAGCTTTCTTTCTGAGGTCCGGTCCGAAGTTGGTTTGTGAAGAGCTGTGTCAGATTCTCAGATCCCATGATCAGAATTGTGGATTGCAGTTATGCAACTTGACATGCTAGGCCTTCAATCGTCTCCTACGAGGATTTCTCAGACTCAGTGAGACAGACTCAGGCCGGCGGTTCGCTCATAAATAGCCGACAAGCCTTGGATTCAATGAGTTTTACAGCGCGTTTTCGCGCTAACGTGTGCTGAGCAGAGTGCCAGAGTCGCAGTTGCAGCAATATTAGTATTTATTTGTCATGCCCCCCGTTCTTATTGGGCTCAAGTGAGTGGCTCCTGAGGCCTCGTCTACCCAAGATCCATTGTTGATAATTTAAAACACCGCTCTTTTGAATTTGACTTGCAAGGCAACGGGGAGACCTCAAACTGGATCCAGATCAGGAACCAAATCAAAACGATTGGCGGTAAGGCCCTGCACTGGCTTAAGCACTGGCCGCAATGGCAACGCAGACTTTGTTAGACATCAACTTGATCATGTGTCACGGTGGTGGAGTGGCATCACACGTGGCCGAATGGTGCCCGTGATTCAGGGCCTTCTCAAATGAATGGATCAATCAATCTGTTGTGATTGTTTGTTTCAGCATTTTGTTTGCAGTCTTGGAGCACTAATAAGCCGGAGTCATAGTGTTGTCGTAATGTGAAAGGCGTTGTGTGATTCGCTGTAAACTTGTGCGCAGTGCGCACGTAACAAGTTTCGCTCCAGGGCTCGGGGAAGTCCTGGGACTTAGTCTTGGGTATTTTTGTAAAGCTACGACAGGGCAGGGTATGATTTTGATTATTATGGTTTGCTTTGTGTCTTCGAAACCTGGAGAAACCATGTTTGCAGGAACATGTGTGTGACGGACCCATTTTGGAGACCCTCACAATTCAGACTGGAGTGGATGCCAAACGACACGGAGGAACTCATCGCCAGCAATTCATTTGTTTGAACATGTTGGCAAGTGGTCAGGTTGGTCCTTGGTTTTCCACAGCTCCCGCACGCAGTGGTCTGTGAGTTTGACAATTTGAGCAGTTGCGAATCGGAGTGGTACGCCATGACTTCAGGCGTTTCAGATGCGATCCTTCTTACAGTACGTACACACGTTTGACTTTGGTTTGCTGGACCATTTGAATTTATGAAAGGTGTGAACAAGATCGTCTAGCATTCGTCACCTCAGTCAGTGGAGGAGTCCTGCTATTGATTCAATGACGATATTGTAAGAGTTGGTGGCAAGAACCATTGAATCAATCAATGATCAAGCAGATCATGTGTGTTTGCATGGTACCCGACATTGCTAAATGGTTCGACGTACATGCACAGATGATGGTTCATTGTTTGTCCGCATTGGGCTGGCTTGGATCAGACGGAGAGATTCGGAACCGGGCAATGTCCACGCTCATTTGCAGAGCAGCTTTTGAAATGTTGCCTGGCCATGTGTTGCAGTGTAACAATTTCACAAGGCAAGGCAATATTGGCTTTTACGGTGCCAGCAAGTGAGGATTTTCGATTTAAGATGAAGATCACCAGTGTGAATTCCAGCTCATACTGTTGCAAGCCCTCAATTTTGTTCTGGGCCGTCAGCTTGGCAGCGATTGTGTTTCTTGGATGTGTGCTAATTGCACGTGCGTGCAGTCCAACTATTGACATTGACAATTGATTGGATGAGATGGACGACGCACTTGCGAGTCTCAGTCAGAGAGGAACATTTCATGCAAGACCTTCTAAGGTCGAAATTTCACTGAGCGTTTACAGCAGATAATTTTGACCTTAGAAGTTCAGGCGGGATGTGAGCCTGACAGCCTGGACCCTGTTTTTCCTGGAGTGGACTCAAGTTCAAGGTTGTTTGACGCGAGAGGGCCAATGCGAGAACTACGACGTAGAGACTCTGAAGACCTTCGTGGCAGCAGCAGTCACGAGAATGTGACACAACAGTCAGACTCAGTGACTCAGACCCAGACCTTTGTGCAGAGCTGGGCAAGTTTGGCGCAAGAGTTTGACGTCACACGCGACGTGCCGGAAATCGGAAATTCGTGGTGACCAAGTTGCCAAGGCGGAAGACTAATCTGGTGACCTGGTGACAAAGCAAACAATGTGTCAGAACAGAATTCGCAGCCAGATTCAGATGCAGAGCCATTTTCTTCGTGCTCACTTTGTGCAAGATGAGGGCAGATGTCAGACGGAGAAGAGTTCGAGATAATGATGTGACAATGTGGAAACATAATAGGCTGTTTTCGTGGCCACACGTGGCAGGCTTGACCGCAGTTCCTTGTGTGTACTGTACACGTGGTGCACACATTGAATGCATCATAATGATTGCGGTTTGGAGCAGGCTTCTTTCAGCAGTAGTCTCCTCAGTGCAAGTGAGGACTACGACGTAGCAGAAAGTTTCAAGTTTGGACATTGAATTGGATTCGTTCGGGCTGACTGTAATGAATCACTGAACAGACTCGTTCGGGCTGACTGTAATGAATCACTGAACAGACTCCAAAGACGGGGTGAGAATCTTTTCTAGCAGTAACTCAGCCCTATCATAGGCCATGTAAGTCATGCAAAGGCTGCGACTTATTTTATACATTGAGTTGTCACAACAAGTTGACTCATTGACTCGACAGGCCTTTTTGCTCAGGAAAAGGTGTGAGTCAGCTGCGTGCAATCACCATTGATCAGCGTGCGATTGATTGACATTTTAGTTAGTCACTGACAATGATGACTGACAAATTGATGCAAAGTGACTGACTGAGTTGTCACAGGCAGTGTCGAGATACTGCAGCGTGCCAGAGTCTCAGTGACTCAGTCTCAGTCTGTCAGTCACTCAGTCTCAGTGGAGCTTTCGACTCAATTCAATGACATGGCATGGTGCGCTTTTTGTTTTCAGTGAATTTGAGATGTGAATTGACAAATTGACTGACGTCTTGCAACGTGAGGCTGAGTCACTGGGACTCAGTTAGTTAGTTAGTTACGAGATAGATTTACGCACTGACTGACTGAGCGATGATGCTGAGGCCACGTGATTATGATATTATGTGAGTTATTACATCTACAATGTCAACCAGCGTATTTGCTCGATGGCAAATATCAGGACGGACTTGTTTGGCCAAAGTGAATCTTGACTTGACTTGTCATTGAATCATTGCTGTCAGTGAATAAGTGTTGCAGAGGGCGCTCCGTGACACCTGACTGTGATATTTGTTGTCACAGGTGAGTCGATGATGATCTGTCGGTGACTGAGCTTCATTGAATTGATTGAGGGTGCATTCATTGATTGATTGCGATGCGGCTCTGAGTCTGGCCAGGACCCAGCGCCCACGGACTTGTCGAGCTGCGGGTAGGCCCGGCCCACCCATCATTAAGCTTGGCGCTTTTCTTGATCGTTTGCAGCAACAGCTGTCCTGACAGCCTGATCTGATGTGCTGCAAGCTGTCTCCAACTCATGGATTGATTCATGGTGAACAAACTGTTGGAACACATCATATTGCATCATCATGGCGGGGTGACTGCGACAGAGGAGGCCCAAGGACCCATTGAGTTTGGACTCTCTGCCCCAGATCGCGTTTGCTTGTAGCCATGGGGGGCCACAAGCACAACAAGAAACAGAAGACTGCGGGCGGAGGCGCCTCCATGCCATCATGGGTAAATCCCATGATGATGAACCCCATGATGAACCCGATGATGATGGGCGCCATGATGAACCCGGCCATGATGATGAACCCGCCACCGCCGCAGCAGCAGCAGGCCGACTCATCCAGTTCTGATGATGAAGAGCTGGCGCGAACACGTGCGGCCGAACCAGGCTCTATGTCTAAAGCCAAGGCCCCGCAGGCTACAGCGGCAGACCCTGTGGCCACAGCAGCAGCGGCAGCTATGGCATCCCTGGCAAGCTCCCGGGCGGCGCTTTATTGCAAAAGCGACGAGGCGCGCATCAGCAGAAGCTGTGTGATGCTCGGCGCGCTGCCCAAGGCAAGGTTGCAAACTAGTGATCGTGCTCAGCTTTGCTAGTTACCCAGGCTTCTGACCGGCAAAGAAAGAGTTGAAGCTTTTCATGTCACTGCGGCGGAGTGAGGCCAACCAGACCCCCTTTTTCAGTTCCAGTGCTGCTGTCTGAGTCTGGCTAGTGACGCGAGCCGCTTATCAAAGATACAGTTCACGGGCTGTTTGTCTTGCAAGCCACTTGCTGGCAGGTCCGGCTGTCGGAGGCTTGCGAGGCCATCCACGAGAGCCTGGATGCAACGACGACGAGCGGGCTTAGCGGTGACGGCCTGGCTCGGTTGATCTGGCTCCTCACGAGGCAGAGGCCAATGACAAAGCTGTCAGAGCTTCGCGTGGAGTACTTCTATGAACTCAACATGAAGCTCAGCAAGAGACACGAGCGGCTGCTCACGACGTCTCAGTCTGGCAACATGGCAGACGTGCTGAGAGCCCTGCAGGAGCAGGAAGACTGCCTCACAGATGAGTGGGTCCTTGCGCTTGCAACGGAGTGCGGGTACAAGACGGAATGGGATGCAACCTGGGTTGCGGCAAAAAAGAAGGCGAAGAAGGCTGCGCCTCCCTCGTCAACAGGCACCATGCCAGAGCTTCTGGAGCAATCCGCGATGACGGCCAAGGCCAAGCCCAAGGCCATGACCAGCTTCGTTCCCCCGACGTGGCCGCGTCGAGCTGGCGAGAACATCCTCCTCCCAGCCGCCAACAAGGCCCCGCCTGCGAAAGCCGGGTTAGGCAGCAGCCGCAGCTCGCCTGCAGTTCCGTCGCCTCCTGTGCCGCAGCTCGCACGCCCTAGGCAGCCACCAATCATCGCTATGTCTCAGACTCAGCCGCCACCCCAGCCCGCGATGACATCGACTGTGCCATCGACTGTGCCATCGACCATGCCATCGACCACGCCATCCACCATGCAATCAAAAGCGGGGCCCCCGCCCCCGCCCCGGTCTGTGGCGGTCACGATGTCCAACAGGCCTCTTGACAGGGCTCCTGCAACCGCTCTTGCCCTTGAAGATCAGCCCAAGAATCTTGCAGGAGCAGGACCAGGACCCGGGTCTGAAACGCAACTGAAGCCACGCATGTCCAGAAAAGTGTCGCAAACCTCACTGAGGCGAAGTAATTCTTTGTGGTTTAATTCAACTGTTTCGCTGGCAGATGTTTCTTTGTTCAATCAACATCTAGCCTACAAGGGCAGTAATGCTGTAGCCGCTTTGTTGATTGATGAGTTCCCGACCGAACATGACCGAATTTATACTATTTACTATTATTGCCCGAGTGCCAACTTGCCAACCCTGACTGTCTGGGTGGTGGGGTTTCGGGTGGAGTTGGGGACCCCCCACCCCTGCCAGCGACGTAGCCTAGCCTGCTAACTTCAGTTCAGAGCCATTAGGCCATGTCAACTTTCAGTGGATCTATGTGACTTCGGCCGAGTTTCGATTCAATGAAACTTGTGAGGGGCCATGTGTGGAAAGTTAGCAGCGCCAAGATCACACCAAAGGTAGTGCTAGACTAGAATCTTAGAAGTGCCTCCCTAGTAGCGGGATGAGGGTGAGTCTGAGTCTGCGTCAGGGGCACTAGTTCAGTAAGCCGTCTAATCGTCTAAGTGTTTGCCCCTGTCAGGAGAGCGAGGTTCCGTCCCCGGATGGCCATGACCGTGACTCCTACTCTGACCAGGAAGACATTGACATTGCGAGTCCCAGAGATGAGAGCTCCGAGGCCCAGCCGCTGCCGACCGACTCCATTATTGATCCGGGGCAGCCAGCGGGCAACACGGACGGGCCGCCTGAGCCGCTGCTGTGCGCCATCTGCCAGCAGGGCATGGACCACCAGACGCAGGCGCTGGAGGCTACCGAGTGCGGGCATGTCTTTCACCGCGTGTGCATTGAGCAGACATGGACTATTGGTGGAAAGCCTCGTGGATGGTGCCCGTATCGGTGCAGCAATGGTAGTGCTCCCGGACTTGGAGCTCAGGGCGATGATGAAGCTGCAGCTGGCGGTTGGGAGGCCATGGGGGCGGAGGAGATCAATGACCAGACCGCGGAGGCCGCTACTGAAGTAGATATTGTGGTGTGATCCTGCCGCTGAGCTGCCCCGTTTCCCTTTAACAGATTCCAGATGGCGTGTTAAAGTTTCAAAGTGCGATATGAATTGATCTTGGGCACGAAAGCCAATCGCAATCGGATGATGACTGATGTGACGAAATAAGCTACTACATCGCTAACAGTCTTGTTGTACACATGGCGGGGCAGCAAAGCAGGAAGCGAGTCAGGCAGCAATCCTGTGATTGTGATTGTGTCACGGGCTCGCGGGTTTTGTTCCATCAGTGGCCGACCTCAGGCACCAGCCCGGGTAGCAGTCAGTAGTCACAGATCGGAGTCTCAGACTGAGTGACTGTCAGAGCCATATTCTACTTCATTCATGTGTTGCTACGACTATGAACGACTGATTTGTTTGACATAGTTAGTCAAGTTAGTAGTTGCGGCCCTGAGACGCTCACGGACGGGCGAAAATTCGACTGTGACACAATGTCACAATGATTCAATCTATGTACTTGACTGGCAGGTAGGCACGCACGCGCGCTATCATGATTGACATCTCATCAGAATGTCATAATGCTTTGTCGCAACGGGCGTGGCTGTGCTTGGGCCATTGAATTGGGCCTCCAGTGTCGTGGATCCGGCCACTGTAGCAGATCGCATACGCACGGGGAAAATGGCATTGCTCCTCACAGTGTCATGATACATGATACTGAGTTCGACATGTCACATTGTTCAATATTCATCATTCAGATGCTATCGCGCAGGTTGAGGCGGCCTCCGGTCAGGACTGCAGGATGCCCAGGCAGTGCTGTGTCACGTCCTTACATTTTCCTTGATTGACCCCCTTCGTTTGCAAGGTGGCTCGCTGGAGTGATCTCTGCTCTCTGGCTACGCCTGGAGCTCGGTCAGCTGCGTATCGAGCCAAGGTGTTTGCCAATTATCAGGAGTAACAGCCGGGTTGATTCATTGATGGGAATCTGTGTCTTGACTCATGTCATAGTGAGTATAACTATATGATGTGTGAGTCCAGCCCCCCCCCCCCACTGTGACAGGCAGCCGTCGTCACCTGACGCCTGAGGTGCCGTTGCGATTGTGATGGCATGCAGACGCAGATGAAGGCTTGGGCGTATCTCAACAATGTCACTATTAAATAATATGCGAGGTGTTTCAGTTGGGGTGAATCACTGTGAGGCATGTGATACTGGATATACTTGCAAGTGTCAGGGCTGGATGGCCTTGGGGTTCGTACATTCAACCAGTGAGACTGTCTGCCATCATTCCGTGACTCCAGGCGTCACTGGGCTCCTGTTGGTGCACGGCAGCCCTGTAATGTGGCGGCGGGCAACGATGGTGGAGTTTTGTGTGAGTGTTGGTGTGAATGTTGGCTGACCCTTTGGGTGATGGGATGTGGGTCAAGTGTCTTGTCAGGCTGGGCGTGTCGCTGAATCTGCAGCAGCTGTGGCACCAACAAAGGGACATTGGTGCAACGTTTACAACAATTAAGCAGGAATGCATACTCATGCTAAACCAAAAGCACTTTGATCCACAAACTGCATCCTAAACCCTATGGAAATTTTGCTCAAAATTTCTCAAAATTGCTCAAAATTGCTCAAAATTGCTCAAAATGTCTCAAAATGCCTCAAAATGCCACATGTTCCTCCACCAAGTCTCAAAATGTCACAAAATGCCACTAAATGTGACAAAACTGTCATTATTTACTACACACCAGACATCACCGCTGAGTGGACAGCTTGGGGATTGCGCAATGGAGTACGGGCCTGTGCGCAGCAAGATCTCAGACCGCGCATGTGCAATGTGTGCAGCAGCCAGCGCAGCGGTTGCAGAGCATGACCGCGTGGACAAGCTCTTCAAAAGGTCCTGTCATGATGTGGATGCTCACCTGTTTGCAGATGTGGAGGGCTTTCCACTGAACGCTGTGGGTGATCTGGTGTGGTTTGACCTGGATGAGAGGAGTAAGATCGAGCGGTTGATTGCCAGGCTTCTGCGTTACGACAAGGCGCACAGTGGCGGCAGAGCCCCTGATGTGTGGCATTGCTTACTGTCGAGCGTGTACCCCTTTATGACCTCCTGGGGCATTGACAAGATGCTCCTGGCCTTAGTGCTCAGGACGCTCCACAATCGGGCAAGGGGGCGATGTTGGGTGCAATATATTGAACACGCGTGCGGGCGAGGCAACCTGAGCAAAGCAGCACTTCGGCGGGGGCTGCGAGGGGTCAGCTTCGACAAAATCTACAGCAGCTCACACGACGTCCTTACCATCGCTGGTCTGCGCCTTTGGCTTCTCGCGTTAGCAGCATCCCTGCCAAAGTGCCTTGTGTGGCATGGTACCCAATGCTCCAGCTTTGTGACGCTATCGCTTTCACAGTCCTTACGTTACAAAGAGAACGACTGGTTGGGTGATCAAGACAAACTCTTTGTGAAAGTTGGCAACATGCTTGCTGACATCACAGGGTTGACCATGTGCCTGGCCTTCCTGATGGACGGGGTGGAGGTTTTGGAACAGCCCCTCAATTCCCGCATGCCACTCACACCCTGTCTTCGGGCTGCCTTGGTCTTCACCTGTGCGCAGAAGATAACGACTTATCACAGCTGCTTCGGGGGCGAAACATTAAAGCCGTTGCAACTGTGGTCAAGCTGCTCCATGATGACAGCCCTAGCGCGGGACAGGCCTATTGTGATGCGCAGTGACGCTGTCCTGGCTCGCCGGGATAAGAACGGAGGTTTCACGGGTGTGAAGCACCTTCTGCTTGAGTCGCAGGCATACACTTTGCAATTCGGGGATGCAGTTATTTCAGCGCTGCTGTCCAGCAGTAGCTGAGTTGGCTGCCAGACTGTCAGAAGCAGGGGTGCTGCTGAGTTGTGATCATGTTTGATTCAATCATATGGTTGGTTGGTTGGTTTGTGCGGGCAGTTTGATATGCTGCGGTGGGAAGCCCATTGCCAAATGACTAACCTGTTTTCGTTGGCTGGCGCGCCTCCAGTGCTCAGGTCAGTCGAGCCAATCTAGCTCGCACGGGGAGATATGCCTCATCTGGCTGTGAGCGGGTAGACAAACAAATCTGTCGGCAGGCGATCCGAATAGAGTATTAATATACTACACACATCACTGACAGACTGATCTTATGTGCAAGTCACTCACATGTTCATTGAATCATGCCGTTCCCCGTAAGCCCTGATTTTCCTTGGTTGTTTTCTTGAACACACATGGCCCTTGCACGCCAGCAAGTTGCATGGCCACTTGTGACTGTTACCGACTGATTCTGATTACCGTCTGTCTTGCGTCAGGACCAACTTCCCCGTTCTTGCGATTCTGGGTCTGGTGGACAGGACTGACTCGTCGTCATATAGGGGTCTGTAGTCTGTTACCTTTTTTTTGGCACAAAACCTTGATTGTCATTGTCATTCATTGATTGCTTTGTTTGCCACGGTGGCAAGGGCTGTGCATGGACTTGACGGGTGCGCTTGTGCAATTGGTCTGTGTGTAGAACTAACAGTTCAGCAGCAGTGCTTCGGAGTCAAGCCATTCCTTCGTAATTTAGACTCGACCCAGCCTCATTTGAGGACATTTAAGGGGACGGACACGCCGCTCTCTTTGCCTGGGGCCCCAGCAACTTGCGCTGCGTCCCAAGCTTACTGCTTGATTGACTCAGTCATGTGACAGAGTAGATAGTTATTTTTTTGGTGGTGAGTGAAAGTGCATTGTAAGTGCGTCAGTCAGTCTCTCTGCCGATTTGCAGCATGTTGTTTCATGTTGTTGATCAGCTCTGTCTCCGTCGCTTCTTGTTGCTTCAAAGCTGGCTAGGCCTTAGTGCTGCTGAATCATGAGCCTTAACCATGCGGATTGCAAACGGCTTGTCTTGGACCAGGACCTTGCTTTCCCGTCGAAGGCTGCTTATTTGGCACGGACGGGGGCAGATGAGGAGCTGTGGTGGTCCCTGCACTATTTGCGTGACAGGTTGAAAGACAAGGGTGAGACGCGCACCAGCTTCTACAAGTGGGTGACATTTTTCAAGGCATCAATCCAAGCATCAGGGCTTGTAGACGAGGACGCTTTTTTTGTGCATTGCAAGGGTGTAAATACGCCGGCGTCCCAGCTTGATGACACGGTGGCAACAAGCAGTGGCATTTTGGCGTTTTTTTTCCGCAGCGTGGAGACCAGCCGGACATCATCAATTGTCCTTTTTATCCAGGGGCAATTGAGGGAGATTGTGACACGTGTGACTCATGGAATCAGGGAGGCTATGGACCTGCCAGATGGTGAGGAGGTGCTACCTCTACATGTCAGCCCTGGTGGTGTGGTGTCAGGCCTG